TTTTCCGTTTATTTTGGCCGTCACGTACTTCTGGCGTAGCTGGAAGTTTGGTTCGATTGCGTGAGAGACAGTGTTGAATTTGCGTTGAGGTTTTCGTGATCTGCTACTTGACCTGTTGTAGCGGCTGACCGTTCTTCCGTGCCCTTTGGTTCGGCATAATGTCACTTCATGGATTGCACAGTGTACATTTTTGTTTCTTGTAAGGGCAGAGTTTCACAAAGTGCCACTAACCGCACTGCCAGCAAGCTGATGGAGGCTTTGTTCCAGCAGGATCAGTTACTTTATCTGGCTGTTTGAAAAATGTTTGTGCCACATTGAAAAAATTGTTGAATGTGGGGTGCTCCAACATACTTATGTCGTATTTGAGATTCATAAAACGTTGGCACTCACGTACTCTTGCAACGTTATATCGGGAAACCGTTCAATCTTGTTTGATCAGTTTCATGCAACGGCAATGAATATTACTGAAGGATGACCGCCGGAAAGTTTCATCAAAAGTGAAATCGCGGGCAATTTTCGTAAAATAAAATAAGTGTAGCGCATGTGTTCAGCGGTATCAAGTTGCCTCAGCAACAACCTCATTCTCCATGCATCATTTTTCTTCTTAGTTGGAATTTAAAAATATCGGCGTATCGCTTGAACCACGACTCGAAAAGAATGCCAGCATCGGGTTCAGATAGAACTCCGTGATGCTGTTGACAATTGCGTCCGGTGCATTTTGAACCTGAAACTTGACTTGATGGCTGGACTCTAAGTTTCTGCATCACTGTTTCTTTCAAACTTAATTGCGCCGCTTCGAACTAAATTTGTTGTTGATTTAACATTTCTTTTGATTTTTCAGCAGCTATAGAAATTTCGTTTAGATTTCCAGTCATCAAATATGTTGTGTACTGACTGTTGCTGAGACTGCTATCACGACCAACTTCCAAGCCGAAGAAAGAACACAATCAAAATGGCAAAGAACAGTATATTAGATAAAAAAGCACCTCTTGCTATTTTCATTTACGAACTAGCGTTCGTTCTATTTATCGCCTCCGGTGCGTTCTGAACGTTCGTTAAAATTTACCAATCAGAAATATCGAACCGTCCGGCAAAATACACTGGCCGATCAGTTCGGGCCGGAGGATTATCTAGCTGCGGCATTTTATTGACTACTTTTGCCGAAAATATGAACTCTAGGACCCGATTGTGTTGGAATTTAACCTTCCTGACACTTGCGGTTTAGGAGCATATAGCTGACTGATGACTGAAGACTGTAGAAGTCGAGGTAGCAGACTTCCACCCGCTGACCTTCATCCGGCTTTTTAGTAATCTTATCCAAAAAGATTAGTAGGTTAGTCAAACATGACTTTCTTTCTGTGAACCCATGCTGCACTGGTGCCAACAAGTGGTAGGTGGTTAGGTGCTTACATATTTACCCCCTGCTGATCCGTTCCAAGCATTTTTACAGAACGGGTGTCAGGATAAGTGGTCGGTAGTTGCTTACCTTATGCCCAGGTCCTGAATTGTATAGAGCAACAACCGTTGTTCTTTGCCATTCTTTCGGTAATATCCTCGTACTCCAAGACTGCTCAAACAGGATGGTTACCGGATGTGCCAGAATCCCTGCTAGTGGTCAAACTATAGAAGAATGTACCCAATCAGGTCCTGCATTGTGGGTGATCTAAACTTTCCTGATTTAGTTTAGGAAGAAGAAGGAGCTCCTAGAGGAACTGCCTGATGAGCGCTACTGGAGTGGGTTCATTCCCATGCACGTGTGCAGCACGTAATGAAACCCATCCGGTTCCATTTCAACCAGAGGCCCTCAATCCTTGACGTGGCTATGTCTCGAGCAACGTCAGACGTTATTAGCCTCACGATGGAAGCCGCTCTAGGTAGAAGCAAATCAAGCGGTCTTTCCGTTGAAAGTACTGGCGCAGTACACTCAGCCAGGGGTCAAAATGGTCCGGTCGTATTGTAGTGTACAGGAAGAGAGTCTTCAAGAGGCAGCTCTAGGTTTAAGCTGGGAACCTTAAACAGCTGAGCCCAGCATCGAAGAAAGATGGACTGCAATCAAAGATGGTTTGCTGAAGCTCACAGAAGAGTTTGCATCCCTGAGGTCCAGGCGACTCAGACAAAGGCCACCATGGTGGAAGCCATGTTTAGACAGGGCTCTGGCCACAAGGAGTCCAAAGCGGGCACTTTACAAAAGACTCAATTCATATCAGGCATGGTGTAGCTCCAAGGCAGGAAGAAACCATGCGCAGGCTATGCAACGAGGGGCCAGGTACGACTATGAGCATTGGATTGCGATAAAAGCAAAACAGAACCGGAAGCGGCTTCTTCCCTTCGCCCAGTCTAAAGAGGCATCAGTTAAGGGGATCGGAACATTAGAAAGCATTGATGAACGTCTCGCCTTAAGTGAGGAATACAAAGAAAATACCCTTCAGGCTTTCTTCAGGGGAGTGTATAGACAGCCGGTATTGTTAGGTATGACAAATAGATTTAATAATCCCACCGTGACATAACAGTTGACCGAAATAACTGTGACACCAGACGAAGTCCTTCAGAAGTTAGCTTCTCTGGACAAGTTCAAGCGAGTGGGATCAGATGGCATGCATTCCACTATTGTGAATGAAATTCAGCTCAAGAGAGAGAGAAGTTAAGGACCTGGGAGTCATTATACCGCACAACTTCAAACCCTCACAGCAATGTCGGAGGGCAACCAATATACCTCGAAGGAAACTGTTTCGTCTGCACTCCACAATTACGTGTACGAGACCCGAGGTTCTCGTCCCTCCATACAAGGTTATGTTTAGGCCACACTAGGACCATTGTGTTCAGGCACGAACACTCTACTTTTGAAGAGACATCATATGTCTATAAAGTCAAGTCAAGTCAAAGTAAGTAAAGATTGCAACTCATGGCTACCAGGACGATGGTGGGACAGAGAGAGGTAAGTGTTACGATCAGAGGCTCAAGGACCTTAATCTGTTATCGGTGGCAACATGGAGAATAAGGGGAGAGCTTATAGCATTCTATAAGCTCATATACGGTCTCTCTGGACTCAAGTTTTATTGTATGTTCCAGTTCATCTCGTCAAGTGGCACTAGGGGCGTAGTTTGATGCTGCAACGTAGTCGTGTAAAGTTGGACATCCGAGCCAAGTTGTTTACAAGTCGCGTAATACCCTACGGTAATGATCTACCCGATGATGTGGTAAGTTGCTCTAACGTCATAGCCTTTAAGAGAGCCTTAGATGATTGTTGGGCTTCTATACTTTCCCTGCAACAGTTCAAAGGTAAACCCTTATCAGTCCTGAGCGCCACTACCTAGGAGGTGATACTGCTAATCATATTCTGCATTTCAGACGAAACCTATTGACTTGCAGCGTTCGAAGCCACAAGTTCAGCCAACAACACATACATTTGGAGGCCCGGGCGACACGTCATCCTGTGCAAATAGAACTGAACTGCATCCCTACGTCGATTAAGTGATGCAAGCTCTCTGGGCCACCCCCGTTCTCGCAGGTTCGATCGATGATAGAAGACCTTACGATATCTGAAATCACTTTTCCCCTTTTTGATCGTATCACCTTCGCCCAAACAGTGATGTCACTCACAAGCTGGTATCATGTACATGAATTCATATTCATGTACTTTGCAAACGAAATGTCCACGTACGTATACACAAAATACCTTTCAAAAACCCCATCCACTCAAGCTTTGTCTCTGTCCACCTCCACGCACAGAACGCTTGACATTCTGTATCGTTTCCGACCCTCACCGTATTCGTTTCACGTCCTGGATCGAACTTCGTTAAGAATAATCCAATAAATATACATGCATATGCACTTTTTATCATTTCACGTCTTCCTCTGTGACAGCTTGCTTCATACCCACTTATCCACAGAATCGTAAACAAGCAGAAATGCGTTGCTTTGATCACCTTGTTCTCTTTCAGAGATTCCCGAAAAAACCAAATGCCTTTGGCCGTTTTGTGGTTCTATTTGTTTGTCACGTGCGAATAAGATTGCATTCCATTGTACTTTTAACCCCCTGAAATCTATTGACCCCAATGTACTACCATATATTGTACAAGATGATTATGCAACCCGGCATGCCTCACGGTTGTCATTGTGAAACATACTATTGTTATTCGGGCCAAAAGTTACTTAAAGTGGGTAAAAACGAGGCACTCTTCTAACGTGTTGCATTTTGCACGAGATTCAGAGCTCAGCAGGAAACATCCCTGTTGGAGTTAGTCGGTTCCAAATAGGAACAGGGTGTAATTTGTGTTACTGGATGTCCACCGATTGAGAAGAGCCATCAAATCATCGGAGTTGATATCCTAAGCAAGCCACCTGTACGCAGATTGCGTATGATTAGGCAGTTTGGTAGAATGAATATGAATAGGCTTGGGAATACACCGCACAACTGCAAGCGATCCCTGAGCGAGACACCATAGACATCGAGGAATGCTGATGTATTGACCATTCACATTCCATTCTCAATGTACCTTTCCTCCTGTGCATCCCATTGTTTTATCACACCAAGACCACCTCTTTGGTCAGCACGTGTTTGCTTCCACTTTCTGCACGGTTGCTCACGCCTCTGTATCTCTCCCTTGCTCCGCAGGTCTTTACAATACACGTTGTCCTCCGTTTCGTGAATTGCCTCGTTCTCTTCCCGTACGAACGTACGTTTGCGACCTATACGTATTAGCCCGGGGTACCAATAACCTAGCGCCTACAAATTGGTGAGCCCTCATTTTATTTTATTTACGTTAGAAAATTTTTGTTTTCGGAGGAATTTCAATTTCTCTAGGTCACGTTTGTGCTAAATTGTCCGCGTATTTATTTCCACGGAATCACTCTCGTGCGTATAATTTAAAATTATATTTATCCCCAGTTTGTGGTTTTATCATCATTTACTTTTGGATTTTGTGTCCACTTTCGTTTTTCCAACGTAGTTTGTATTTTAGGTGCTATTCGGTAATATGTTTGTAGCCCGTTCGAAAATCGCATATTACATATTTGGGTTTAAGTATGATTAGCCCCCATCATAAGGACTCCATAGAAAGCGAAGCACTCTGGGCCCAAAACAGGGCTCCTGAGTTCACGCCGGAGGATCCGGAACCGTTCCTCGCACTTCTGGAATCGCGATTCCATGAAGCTCGCATCAGTGGGCAACTGTCCCGTTATCATTAGCTGTTGTCCGCTATCCCGTGCGGCATGCTTATCAAAGCCAGGGATATTTACATGAATATCCCTGCGCACAACCCGCAAGACGTGCTCAAAGAAGCACTCCTTCGTCGTATGGCAGTTTTTGAAGAGAAACGCATCCAGCTCCTCCCGTAGGGATTCAATTGGGAAACCTCAAGCCGTCACAGTTGTTGCGTCAAATGCTTGCGTTAGTCGGCAACACCACACTCGACGACTCCGTACTGCGCTAGATTTGGCTTCAACGGCTTATGCCATACGTCCAGAGTATTTTGAATGTTTTTGCACATGTCCATAGTCTAGACGAACTAGCTGAGGCTACTGACCGAGCAATGGCGCAGGCTCAACTTTTCCAGCCCTCTTTGGAGAACATCGGGAGCCCGGAACCAAACTTCGTTCATCAGTCGCTCCCCAACCTTACTCCCGGTAAGCACCTGCACGAGCCCACGACAGAAGTGCAGCTATTGTCTCAGAAGTTGGCCAACCTTCGTTTATCCATGGCCACTATGCAGACCACCATGAACAATCTGCAGACTACCCACCCGACCCGTAGTCGAAGCCGGTTCAGCAACCGGCGCAGGCAAGCCCCATCTAGAAGCGGCCTGTGCTTTTGCCACAGACGTTTCGGAAATCAAGCTTGGGTTTATGTTAGATACCGGAGCGCAAGTCAGTATAATCCCGTTCACTAAACAGGATGCTGCCAGCCCAGCCGCACTGACTTTGCAGGCAGCCAACGGTACCCCTATCCAAACCTATGGACAGCGGCTACTGAACCTAGACCTAGATTTAAGACGCGTCTTACCTTGGGTTTGCGTGGTTGCTCGTGTTCCTTACGCCATACTTGGCCTAGACTTTCTACAGCACCACTACCGCAAGCGACAGATAAGAGACCCACTCACCTCCAGAGTAGTCTTCGGCTCCTTGGTGTATTCGGTAACCCAGAATATATACCTCTCTTTTTCACACGATGATTCCCCATATTCATCGTTATTCCGCGAGTTCCCTAGCCTCGTTCGCCGCAGCAACGAGCAGTCACCTATCACGACGGAGGTGTCGCACCACATCGTCACTCGAGGTCCACCGGTCCACGCACTTTCTAGTCGACGAGCACCAGACAAGTTACGCACCGCACACGCAGAGCTTCAGCACATGCTGAACATGGGTACCATGCGCCCTGTTGATTCTGGAGGACCCATCTCGAACGAGTTACGCGTGCGTCAGTATTGATACGTCT